ATAATACAGTCTAGCAGGTCCAAATGTTGTTCGAGACTATGGAGCGGATGCATACAATAATTATAGTAAAATGCCAATAATATGTCCCGCTTCTTCACAAAACCACAAGCTTCTGTCCTTGTGGGGGTTCTTACCACTCGTGCCATAACTAGGACAAAAATTGATTATGTTACTCTACAAGGCTCTAATAAATATTTAGGTATAAGTGCTTATGACTTCATAATCTCTACCATAACCTGATTCAAAATATTCCCATATCCAGCCATAGATATAACAATTCGTTACATAAGAAAACTCATGAATTTAAAAATAAATTTTACCTTGATCGTTGGTTGAAAGTCAGTTGCTAGCTTCTTCGATGATTAAGGACAGTAACTTTCTTTTAAAAAGTCTACAGAAAAGTATAACTGCTCTGATACCACGCTGTGACACCCCGTACTTACGCTTCGAGGGTCACGTACTAAACATAATAGCTTCTGCCTTTGGTACATGTAAATACTCTTAAATAGAAGTGTTACATGTGAAAAACTTATTTTCAACTTAGTAAAATAATTCTTATAAAATTTGATGGCCGATAAAAGTGCATGTCGACAAGGAATTATGCTTCACATATACGGCCTCGGCACTGTCAAGATTAGTTAGGGCAGCAAGTTTGACAATTTTTTATAAAATTCATCCCAACTCCGTTTCCTATGAAATTTGTGGCATTAGAAAGATAATTTCAATTATTTTCTAGGTTAAAATATGAAAATTTTCCAAGATCATATGATATAGACGTTTTACTGAAAACAGTGAAGTATTACACAGGAAATCCAGATTGCCCTTTAGACGTTAAAACCTTGATAACTCAGGCCATAGATATCCAAATTGAGTGATTCCTTCGGACACATTTAGAAAACTCAAAGAGGAAAACAAAATATTTTTATAATTTCAAATGGACGTTTATATAGTTAGAAACATCGTTTTGAAATTGACTCCAGAAACTGTCCCGTTTCTGCCTTTGTCTCTTGCAAGGAAGATAAACTACAAAAATATCTCTTAACATAACATGAAAGATATAATTACAAAATTTACTATTAATACCATAATAAATCATGTCATGTTCATATTTTTACATAATACCATAAAAAAAATAGATGAAAAACTGTCATCGAACAAAACGCACAAAAGAAAACTTTCGGTACAAAACTTCGTTGTCCTTAATCCATCATCGCTTAAGCCAACTAACATCCATCAATCCAAACGATCATGGATCTGAAAATTTAGCATAACATACTATGAGTATAAAAAATATTCAGTAAGATACCATGCTTGGATTTTTATCATGATAATACCACACAAAAGAATACAATCAAACCCATACTTGCGTATTCCGGCTTGCCGGTGCCCTTCGGACTTGTCCTAAGGCATAAATAGATATCTAACTTTGTGGACTTGTTCACCATAATCATATTATGGTTTTTCATGCATAACTTAAGCATAAATATTACCATGAAAATCATAACTCTTAAGCATGGAAAGTATCTTACCGTAAAACTTGAAGATCTTCGATTGAAATGAATTGGAAATGCTAAACTTGCTTCCTTCTCCTTTCTTTTCTTAATTTCGGTTTTTGCTCTCTTTTTAAGTGTATAAGTGTTTTGTAAAATGAAGGAAATCTCTCTATGGCAATGGAAATGGATGTATTTATATTTATATAAAGATAAGGATAAGGCTTGATATATTTTTTTTTCTTCTTTTCTCTACTCCACCGCCTCACCCCTTCTCCTCCCATTTTTTTTTCTTACCTTTACACATGTTTAGCCTATTGTCTAAGTGTATGGTGATGATGGATAGCAAGTGGGTTGATTATAGTGTAATAAGTGGCCTTAAAACCTAGTTTTACAAAGGAAACCTCCCATCTTTTCAACTAATATAGTCTAAACCCTCTAACTTTCATTGTTAACAAAGTGTACCCCAAATTTAAACTTGTACCCAACTTACATATTCAAAAATTGTAGATTGTAACATAATTTAATCATTTGGTCAATTTGAAGTCCTAACAAAATAATCCACTTCATTCAAGTCCAAACTTGCCTTAAGTTTCGACTAACTAATAATCACTTCATACATACACAACCTTCGACACTTCATGCCTACATTCATTAACTACCTCTAGCATTAACCACTACAAAGGTGGTGTCCCCTTTTTCTTATGGCCAAAAAGAATATTGAAAGTTAAATCACTATCCTACGGAAATTTAAACAAGCATAAAATTTTGGAGTATTACATTACCACACTAGAACAAGTCACTGCTCATTTAACAACTTTGGTGGTTCAACCTACTCTTAGAGATCAGATCATAGAAGTATAGGATAAAGACCTATTCTTACAGAAGATCAAGAACAAGATTGGTACTGATAAGAGAAAGGATTTTGGAATAGCTTCGGATCAGGCACTAATGTTTAAAGGAAGAATTTGTGTACCAAATGATGAAGTTTTGAGGAAGAAGATATTGGAGGAGGCTCATTCCACCCCATATGCCGCACATCCTGGTGGTACAAAAATGTATCATGACCTTCGAAATACATTTTGGTGGAGGAATATGAAAAAAAGTATAGGTTCATTTGTGGCAAAATGCATAGTATGCCAACAAGTTAAAGCAGAACATCAAAGACCGACAGGGTTATTAAATCCATTAGAGATACCTGAATGGAAGTGGGAGAATATTGCAATGGACTTTGTGGTAGGATTTCCAAGGTCAGCAAGAGGACATAATGCTATATGGGTAATAGTGGATCTTCTAATAAAGTCCGCTCATTTTCTTCCAGTAAAAAATGACATTCAGTCTAGATCAGTTGGCACAGTTGTACATTAGAGAGATTGTAAGATTACATGGTGTCCCCGTGTCCATTGTATCTGATAGAGATCCGAGATTTACGTCAAAGTTTTGGAAGAGCTTACAAGGAGGTATGGAAATGAAATTGAATTTTAGTACAGCATATCACCCTCAATCTAATGGTCAGTCTGAAAGGACCATTCAAACTTTGGAAGATATGCTTAGGGCTTTTGTTCTGGATCTAGGAGGCAGTTGGGAATCGTATATACCTCTAGTAGAATTTGTATATAATAACAATTTCCAAGCAACTACTGGAATGACACCATATGAAGCTCTCTTTAGTAGAAAATGCAGATCACCTGTTCATTGGGACGAAGTTGGAGAAAAGAGAGTTTTGGGACCAGAGATCATTGAAAGACCAGTTGAAGCCATTGACAAGATCTGTACCAGGATAAAGGCCGCGCAACATAGACAAAAGAACTATGCAGATACTAGGGGAAAAGGCTTGGAATTTGAAGTTGGAGAGAAAGTCTTTTTAAAGGTGGTACTAATAAAGGGTGTACTTAGGTTTGGCAAGAAAGGCAAACTACGACCTCGTTATATCGGACCTTTTGAAATACTTGATAGGGTCAGAAGTATGGCTTATCGATTCGCTTTGCCACCCGAACTATCAGCAGTTCACAACGTATTTCACATATCGATGATCAAGAAGTATATGCATGATCCTGATCACGTGGTCAATTATAAATCCTAGATGTACTTAAAGATTTATCTTATGAGGAATTACCGATCAAGATACTGGATCGAAAGGTACATAAATTACGGAACAAGGAAATTCAACTGGTTAAGGTGCAATGGAATAATCATGGAGTAGAAGAAGCTACTTGGGAAAGAGAAGAAGAAGTTAAAGATAAATACCCAACACTCTTTGTCCAACCATAAGGTAAATTTCGAGGACGAAATTTTATTTAAGGTGTAAGGGTTGTAGTAGCTGAGAAAAATAAAATGGAATTATGCTAATATTTTGTGATGATCTAGCACCACAAGCCTAACCCATTTTAGAAACGACCTATGGAAGCTCAACCCATGTCAGATTATGAAAGCACAAGTCATAAGTTAATTAAAAGCCCAACAATTTAAGAGATTAAGTTTAAGTAAAATTGATTACAAAGATTTAATGAATAACTGGGTTGCCACAATGGTCATCTACATGGTATTTCATATAGCCAACTAAAGTTCGAATCACCATGTAGATGTTTTTTATAAAACTTTTAGATAAATTATTTTTATGGCTTAGAGACTCTTCAAATTCTTAGTTAAAGACTAAGTTTAATAAATTTAATGATAATACAACTCGCCCGCTTAATTTTTCATTAAAAAGAAAAGTTATAGAATACACTTCTCTTTAAATCCGAATTTCATCTCATTTTCTCTCGAAAAAGATATATTTCATATCAAGTTAAGCTTAAGGAATAATAAGGGTGAGAAGAAGGAAGGCTTTCTATACATTTTGTTCTTTTATCCAAGAAAATTCAAGGTAGGTAGAGGTGCAAGTGTTCATTCGTTTTCAAATCTGATTTTTCGATAAATGTTTGAATGAAATAGTACCTTTGGGTATGGTGCTTCAGCACTACAACAGTTTTAATGATCATTCTCTGGCTCTATGTGTTATGATAATACTATAGTAATTGGATTTTGCCGAAAATCCATCTACGTGCGAGGGTATGAATCTATAGTTCGGAATTTCTAATTTGATAACGAATTGCACCGATGATATCTATTGAGTTTCAAACTCATGGGTTAATTCCCTTCCTACAGGTTGAATGGATTTTTCTTGGGGCGTAGATGATGGTAAAGGATGATACAACATGTCATGAAGAAGCCGGCGATTTACATCTTTAGTTGATTTTGAGATGTTTACACTTTTTTTAAATTTGATTCCTATGAAAATTGTGTGGATCTATTTTACGAACACTCATTATGAATAAATTATGTTTGAAAGTAGATATGCGTCATAGGAATAAATTTACAAATCAACATGTCACAACCCAAATATATACAAATAACCATACTAATTCCTATGTCGAAATGATATTGGTAACTCGATCTAGACATAAAATTTAGATATGCATTTCTTTTAATAAAATGAAACAAGCATTTGCACAATTCTGTCCCTATTTGTTAACTTCAAATCACCTGTGATGATCATATATTATATCAAAATCAACGATCATATAACCATAATCCAACACGTATGTTCTAAGGTTATAAACACATCTATAGGCCATTTCAAAAGTTATACAAGACAAGACCCCCAAAATATGACACAATAGAGTGTAAGCTCAAAACAATAGCCCACAAAATAACCCTACAGGTCGTCATCCATGTACATTGATCTTTGGAATCACGTAAGAGCTCCACAGCTAGCCGTGCCCTCTACATAGTTCTATGCTCACCTACAATACAAAAACTACATAAGCCAATGCTTAGTAAGCAAGAATCATGCATGTCATGAGTATGAGTAACAAGGATATGTGACACCATGTCATTTACTTTAAACATCATGCTAAAGATGCATCATATTCCAATATTCATCAAAGTCGACTCGAAATTATTTCATTTGAAATCTTTCATTTCATTGGGCCTTGACCCACCTACTATGCACCTGATAGAGCTCTGCATAATATCAATATCAATAATCAAGTGGCCAATATGAAATCGACACCGGTGAGTGGACCATCCTCTCGTGACCGCTAGAGGTCCATCCCCTAACTACCCCTATGATCACCCAAGAAGTCTCCCACCCGGCAGCGCCAATAATCATAACAAGGGCATAGTTGAGTGGTCCGCCCTCCCGTGATCACCAAAGGCCCATCCCCTATTTACCTTTGTAATCACCCAGGAAGTATCACCCGCGATGCCAAACATATCACATAAGCATGCCTCACATGCCTCGATGCCCTAGTAGTAGTCAATAAAACATTTATAAAGAAAACTTACTTTGAAAACATGTTTCGCATGCAAAGTTTTCAACCATGATCATATGTTGTGCATGCCAACGAAAATGCTCATGAATGACATGCTTAATGGAAGTTGATGTCAATTTATTTTGCAACCACATACTCAATGATCATAATCATCATATAGGGTAAAACGAGCTTTCTTATCAAAGTATGAAAATATCCTAACATCACTATACCACAAATGCTAGGTTCTTGCATCGTAGTTGCAAATGGATTTTTACTTACCTTTTTGCCCTTGTGTGTGCACAAGCTCCTATGGAGATTATATCACTTTCCTTTTTCACTCAACGTCAGAAAATCACCTGTATTACCATTTAATATTAAAGCCAATCCTCCATTTAATAGCCTTAACACACACAAAATCCCAAAATACTTCCATTCACGTCAAAATAATTTTAAACGGATTCATTATTCAAGTTACTAACGGCATTACAATCTCGTCCCATAAGTCTCATTTTTCCTCAAGTCCAATTACCAACATCAATGTCATCCAATTGTTGTCAACAACCTAATACTCCTTAGAATCTATTTTCTAGGCCCAAGATATAATTAATTTACATGTAAAGGTTGAAATCATATTAAACACATAAATGGACAGAACCTGTTTTTCAGGTTTCATCACCGTCCAACTACTTTTCCAATCCGTTTTCGCCCCCTTATCCATATCCAATGACTCCCAAAATTTTATCACTTTTCTATAACATGTATGTGAAGTAAATAATGCTCTAAAATCGTGACAAATCAAGTGTTCTCAGCATCACAATAGTCCATTTCCACGACATCAAAATCAAGCAATTTTCATTGTGACAGCTTTCGGTTTCCATTTTATTAGCATGTCATCAAACAGATTCCAGGCTATTAGAAGACCATTTATATCCTTATAAATCCCATATAACAACATTAATTTACATAGATACAAGTTATATCTTCAGTATTATCCAAAATCAAAGTTTAAACCATCCAAATTCATCAATCAACACATCTCTATTCCCGTTGGTTTCTTTCAGGTTCTTGTACTCAATTACCCCTCTCTTTTGCCATCGTAAAATCATAAAAACCCCTTATACTTAGCCTCAAGTTAATAGTTTAAACATATTATAAAACAAGCAAAAGAACTAAAGAAAAACTTCAAAACCGTGAGCTAAACTCACCTATCTAGAAATTCAATTTCAGCTCCTTGTTTCTGCTTCTCTCTTTTCCTTTTTTGCTTTCTCTTTCAATCGGTGGTCAATTGGGGATAATTTGTAAGACTAAACATGTTTTTAGGAGGTGTATATAAAGTCTTCAAGATGCTGGAGACGTGACTCTTCCTTAAGGATTAAGAAAATGTGGGGTGCAGCCAAGTGTTTAGCATGAGGTGGTCTTTTCCTACTATATTTGACTTTTCTCTTGGACTATTTAACTTATATTGATTTATAAGATATATATATCTATCTATATTAAATAAAAAGAGGTAGGAGACGTGTTATATATCTTAAGGATGAAGGGATTGAGTGTTAAAATGACAACTATCCCGAGCATGAGGTGTCGAGCACGACGTGTCTTCATTGCAACCATACTTGATTTTCAACCATTATATTTGGATCCATTTATGATTATAAGATATATATTCATCCTATAATAAGTGCTTAATGAGTAGGAAACGAGATTGATGCCTTAAGGTTGGGTGTTAAAATGATAAATATTAAAAGCATGAGGTGGTCACTAGTAAAAAAAAAAATCTGATTTTATATCTATCTTTGCAGGTATAAATCAAGTATCCTAGGCTTATGTTAATGTGTTTACAATCCATTTCACTTGCCCTAAGATCCCAAAATATTTTATAGAGCTAATTCCTCAATCGTTCATTTAATTACTTACCCGATTGACATCCCATTCTCGACCGATTTCATCAAATCTCACATCAATATTTATAATGTCATATGAGACATATATTATCGCATCATGATCATGTTCCTCTATGTATGATGTCCCAAATATGTCAATTACCTATCTAGGGTTTAAGGTGGTCTCGATCAACCGAATAGAAAACTTGAACTTTTGTCGATACCGATTTCCGACCTTTTCGATATTCCATTTCTTATCAAGCCAATCTCCAACATTTAGTTAACCTAATTTTATATCATAGCTCAATACAAAATTCAACACCTAGGTCTAGGAGTCGAAGACTAAAATCTTAAAATATCCATAGTCGAATGCACCATTTTAAGATAAAGTAATTAAGAAAACTAATGCAAGTAAGATTGTGCATAGCATGAAATGCATAAATCATATTGGCCAAATATACAACAGGAAGTTTGGGGTATTACATCCTTCCCTCCTTATAAAAATTTTGTCCTCGAAATTTGCTTACCAAAAAGTTCAGGATATTTAACCCGCATTTCATCTTCTCTTTCCCAAGTGGCTTCTTCTGTTGACTGATTCCGCCACAATATCTTAACCAATGGAATTTTCTTGCTTCTAAGTTGCTTTACTTCTCGTTGAAGAACCTCAATAGGTTTTTCTTCATATGTCAAATCTGGTTTTATCTCTACTGGTTCATTCCTCAATACATGAGAAGGATTTCCAATGTACTTTCTTAGCATAGATATATGAAACACATTGTGTACTTGAGACATTGATGAAGGAAGATCAAGCTTGTAGGCAACATTTCCAATTTTCTCAATAATTGAAAAAGGACCAATGTATCTTGGGCTCAATTTTCCTTTCTTTTCATTGGTGCTACCTTCAAAAATACTTGGTCACCAACTGTGAATTCTAACATTCTCCTTCTTTGATCTGCATAGCTTTTCTGTCGATCTTGAGTAGTTTGCATTCGTTGACGTATTTGTGTCACAACTTCAGCCATTTCACGAACCATCTCTGGTCCTAGAAATCTTCTTTCTCCAACATCATCCCAATAAATTGGAGATCTACATTTTCTACCATATAATGCCTCATAAGGAGCCATTCCAATTGTAGCCTGATAACTGTTGTTGTATGCGAATTCCACCAAAGGTAAAAATTTACTCCACTGGCCTTGGAAGTCTAATACACAAGCCCTCAGCATAGCTTCCAATATTTGTATTGTTCTTTTTGATTGCCCATCAGTCTGAGGATGGTAAACTGTACTAAAAGATAACTACGTTCCCAAAGACTTATGTAAACTTCTCCAGAAGAGTGATAAAAATTTAAAATCCCTATCTGAGACAATAGATAATGGTACTCCATGAAGTCTAACTATTTCTTGTACATAAAGCTGAGCATATCGGTCCATGGAGTAAGTGGAACAAATTGGAATAAAATGGGCTGATTTTGTTAACCTATCCACAATAACCCAAATACTATCATATCCTTTAGTTGTTTCTGGTAATTTCACCACAAAATCCATTGTGATTCTTTCCCATTTCCACTCTAGGATAGGTAATGGTTGTAAGGCTCCTGCTGATCTTTGATGTTTTGCTTTTATCTGTTGATGGGTTAAACATTGTCCCACATATTTGGTCATCTCACTCTTCATGTTCGGCCACCAATAATGCAATTTCAAATCTCTATACATTTTAGTAGCTCCTGGATGAACAGAATATGGTGTCGTGTGAGCTTCAGATAAAATGTCCCTTTGAATATTTTCTACATCAGGTACATATAATCGTCCTCTAAATCGCAAGATACCATCTGTTAATATATGAAAATCTAAAGCTTCTCCATCATGTATATCATTCTTTATCTTGGAACAATAATCATCTTCCTGTTGTCCTTGTTGAATTCTATTCAATAAAGTTGGCTGAAATGTTAACGCTACAAGTTTAGCCTCTACAAATCCTTGCGACACAACTTCAATACCCATTTTCCGTAAATCTATCAATTCTGATTTTTGAGTTACAATCATACATGCAACACTGGATGTCAACTTCCTATTCAATGCATCAGCTACGACATTAGCCTTACCGGGATGATAGTTTATAACACAATCATAATCTTTTACCAATTCTAGCCATCTTCTCTGTCTCATGTTCAATTCCTTTTTGTGTAAATAGATATTTCAAACTTTTGTGATCAGTGTAAATCTCACACCGCTCTCCATACAAATAATGCCTCCATATCTTAAGTGCAAACACAACTACAGCGAGTTCCAAGTCATGTGTAGGGTAATTCCTTTCGCACTCTTTTAGTGTACAAATAGCAAAGTTCAATTGGTAAGAACCTTGCGATGTATACACTATGGTGTACACTTCAGTTTACACTTTGCCACATGTCATTACCCAGCTTGATAGTTTAAATTTCAAATAGTTTTTCCATCCAATTGACACTTGACAACAGTGAAAGTGTAAAACAACATGTCAAAAATGAATGTACAAACGGTAAAGCTCAATCGGAGAAAACCTTGCTACATGTACACTATGGTGTACACTTTACTTTACACTTTGCCACGTGACATTACTCTATTTGACAGTTTAAATTTCAAACAGTTTTTCAATCCAATTGACACTTGACAACAATGCAAGTGACAAACAACGTGTCGAAAATCAGTGTACAAATAGTGAAATTCAATCGGTAAGGACCTTGCTACAAGTACACTATGGTGCACACTTTAATTTATACTTTGCCACGTGACATTACCCTGTTGGACAGTTTAAATTTCAAACAGTTTTCCCATTCAATTGACAGTTGACAATAATGCAAGAGTCAAACAACGTCTCAAAAATCAATGTACAAATAGCAAAATTCAATCGGTAAGAACCTTGCTACATGTACACTATGGTGTACACACTTCAGTTTACACTTTGCCACGTGACTTGACCAAGCTGGACAGTTTTAATTTCAAATAGTTATCCCATCCAATTGCACTTGACAATAGTGTAAGTGTAAAACAACGTATTAAAAATCAGTGAACAAATAGCAATGTTCAATGGGTATAAACCTTCCTACATGCACACTTTAGTTTACACATTACCATGTGATATTAACCTGTTGGGCAGTTTAAATTTTCAATAGTTTTTCCATCCAATTGACACTTGACAACAATTAAAGAGTCAAACAATGTGTTAAAAATCAGTGTACAAATAGCAAAGTTCTTAATAGCAAAGTTCAATCGGTAAGAACTTTGCTACATGTACACTATGGTATACACTTTAGTTTATACTTTGCCACGTGACATTACCCTGATGGACAGTTTAAATTTCAAACAATTTTATCATCCAATTGACATTTGACAACAATGCAAGTGTCAAAAAATGTGTCAAGAATCAGTGTACAAATAGCAAAGTTCAATTGGTAAGAACCTTGCGACACGTACACTATGGCGTAAACTTTAGTTTA